CTATCTTAAGTGCCTTAAATAATAAAAGGTATTTTTCCTTTGGTAGCGTTTTACTTATATTTGATAGTGTGGATGATGTTATCTGTAAACACACTTCAGGCAACTACTTGTTGAAAGAAAGGAACCAATTTTATTTACATGCAAGGCTGAATATAGTATCTTTCTCATAATTTGTTTCAGTACTTACAAAGTTGAACAGTTTCTTTCACTTAGTTCGCACAGGACCTTTATCTAGACTCTGTATCGCTTAACCCTTCTGGTTATCTGTTACCCAAACAACCACTCTAACTGAACTGCCTCAGTTTCCTAAAATTTTATTTCATCTGTTCTCTCAGATGACTTTAATAATCGCCACCACCTCCTAGCAATTTATATATCCTGCAGGATATTAACACACTTTAATTCCAGACTCCCCTAGTCCCTAACTTGGGTAACTAAGAGGCTAAGCAGACGGGTGGCACGGGGCCACCCTGGGAAGCTGCGGATCGAGGCCGAGGCATCCTCATTCCTTGGCCCCGTGGCGCAGCTTCGCCGCTCCAGGAAGGAGCACTAAAATAGCGCTCTTTCCACAAATCGCCGAAGGGGTGCCGCAAAAGGCTGCCGGTGCACCTTCGGCAACTCTTCCGCTGCAGCGTGTGCGGACGCTGCAGCGGAAAGGCATCGTCGGAGTGCCGGCCGTGCGGAGGGCCGGCTGCTCCGACGACGTCTTCGAGAAGGAGTTGGGGCACCCAGTATGCGGCTGCCTCTCCCCTTCCTTGCCCTAAAGACGGCACTTTGCGCCATCTGCTTAGCCCCTAAACTCCTTCTAACTGTACATCACAGCAGTCAATCCCTTAGCATGCAGGAAGCACAATTAAAACACTAATGAAAGAAGCCCAAACAATTTCTGTGTAAAGACCTCTAAAGGAGGAGAATCTACCACCATCTGAGGAAATCTATTCCATTGTTTAAGCATTGCTACAGTAAAGGCATTATTCCTAATGCATACAAAAACATGTTCCCTCTCTCTGTGATTCTCATACTTTTCTATAGAGCAACAGAAAACAAGCTTGCTTTATCTACTTCATGACACCCCTTCAGATATTTCAAGTATCTGTTCACTCTCTTCTACTTCAGATGAGAAGTAGAACAGTCTTCACAGAATTCAGTCTTCATTGAATGACTATTTTGGCTTTGATTTTGACTGCTCCCTCTACTGTCCACTTGGCTATGTTCTGTTTTGGATTTTTGGACCATAGAATCATAGAGTTGGCAGAGACCCCAAGGCCATTCAGTTCAATCCCCTTCTACCATGCAGGAACACTAATCAAAGCACCCCAAACAGATAGCCATCCAGCCTCTGATTAAAAACTTCCAAAGAAGAAGACTCTACCACTCTCCAAAGGAGTTTGTTCGACCATCAAACAGCTCTTACTGTCAGGAAGTTCCTCCTAATGTTTAGGTGTAATCTCTTTTCCTGTACTTTGAATCCATTGTTCTGTGTCCTATTCTCTGGAGCAGTGAAAAACAAGCCTCTTCCCTCTTTGATATGACATTCTTTCAGATACTTAAACAGGATTATCATGTCCCCTCTTAATTGTCTTTTTATCAGGCTAAACATTCCCAGCTTCCTAAGCCACTACTCAGAGGGCTTTGCGGTTTCCAGACATTTCACCATTTTGGTCACCTGCTTCTGGACACACTTCAGCTTCTCAGCATCCTTTTTGAATTGAGGTGCCCAGAATGGGACACAATATTCCTGACCAAAGCAAACAAACAATAACAAACAAACAATGGTACTGTCACTTCCCTAGACGCTATACTCCTAGTGATGCAACCAAAAATCACATTGGCTTTTTTGGCTGCCACATCACTCTGTTGACTCATGTTCAGCTTGTGACCTACCATGGGGCTAAGCAGACGGGTGGCTGTGGGCTGCCTCGGGAAGCTGTGCCGCGGGGCCGAGGTATCCCCACACCTCTGTCCAGCGGTGCAGCTTTGCCGCCCCTGGAAAGAGCACTAAAATAGCACTCCTTC